TGACTCCTCCCACCATATTATGATGTTTCCCAAGTTTTGGGACTCAATCCGATATCGATTGGTCCATGAAATCGGACAATTCAGGTTCGTACAAGTTCGTTCTGAAATGGAGTGGTTGGTGTATTGCATAGTTTTAGCCATTGGATTTCACTCAAAACCACCAAATGACTCCTCCCACCATATTATGTTGTTCCCCAAGTTTTGGACTCAATCCGATATCGATTGGTCCAGAAATCGGACAATTCAGGTTCGTACAAGTTCGTTCTGAAATGGAGTGGTTGGTGTATTGCATAGTTTTAGCCATTGGATTTCACTCAAAACCAACCAAATGACTCCTCCCACCATATTATGTTGTTCCCCAAGTTTTGGGCTCAATCCGATATCGATTGGTCCAAGAAATTGGACAATTCAGGTTCGTACAAGTTCGTTCTGAAATGGAGTGGTTGGTGTATTGCATAGTTTTAGCCATTGGATTTCACTCAAAACCAACCAAATGACTCCTCCCACCATATTATGTTGTTCCCCAAGTTTTGGACTCAATCCGATATCGATTGGTCCATGAAATCGGACTATTCAGGTTCGTAGCAAGTTCGTTCTGAAATGGAGTGGTTGGTGTATTGCATAGTTTTAGCCATTGGATTTCACTCAAAACCAACCAAATGACTCCTCCCACCATATTGTGTTGTTCCCCAAGTTTTGGACTCAATCCGATATCGATTGGTCCAAGAAATTGGACTATTCAGGTTCGTAGGAAGTTCGTTCTGAAATGGAGTAGTTGGTGTATTGCATAGTTTTAGCCATTGGATTTCACTCAAAACCAACCAAATGACTCCTCCCACCATATTATGTTGTTCCCCAAGTTTTGGACTCAATCCGTTATCGATTGGTCCATGAAATCGGACAATTCAGGTTTGTACGAAGTTCGTTCCGAAATGGAGTGGTTGGTGTATTGCATAGTTTTAGCCATTGGATTTCACTCAAAACCAAAAAATGACTCCTCCCACCATATTATGATGTTGCCCAAGTTTTGGGCTCAATCCGATATCGATGGGTCCCCGAAATTGGACAATTCAGTTTCGTACGAAGTTCGTTTTGAAATGGAGTGGTTGGTTTATTTCATAGTTTTTGCAATTGGATTTCACTCAAAACACCAAATGACTCCTCCCACATTATTCCCCAACTTTTGGGCTCAATCCGATATCGATTGGTCTTAGAAAATGGACAATTCATGTTTGTACGATTTTCGTTCTGTAATGGAGTGGTTGGCGTGTTGCATAGTTTTAGCCATTGGATTTCATTCAAAACTCACCAAATGACTCCTCCCACCGTATTATGATATTCCCCAACAAATTAGACAATTCCGGTTTGTACGAAGTTCGTACTATAGATGGAGTGGTCGGTGTATTGCATAGTTTTAAATATTGGATTTTGTGGGAGCAAATATTTCATTTCCAATCACGACACATGATGAGAGTCTCAAATTATATCTTTTTAATATTATTTTGGAGACTTTATGATATAAATTTGTCTTAGTAAATATAATTTCACTTGTTACATTTTATTCTCACCAACCGAATTTATGAATTTTATATATTAATTTGGTGAACTTATTAGATGAATTTATCTTATGTAGGAAGGTGGAAAGCCAAAAGATGAAGACAAACATTTGTCCAAGTTCAAGCTAGGTGTGAAGAGAATTGTTGGTGGATTTTATTGAAGAATTGATTGTGGGATTATTGTGACTATAAAGAGAAGTAAAGAGGGAGAAGAGAAGACAAAACCGTTGAAGCTAAAGAGCCTATTTCATGTCATTCATAGCCATTTAATGCAAAGTAAAAATCACAATTCCTAACTCCATTGGGAAATACAGCTCAGCCCAATTGTCACACGATTTGGGAATCTTTAGCCTAGAAAAATCATTAAAAATATATTTTAGAAAGATAAATGTCTTATCTTTCCAACATATATAGCACGTAACTTGGAAAATTAGAAAAGGCTTCCGTTTCTTCACATTCAAGTAACATGTACGAATCTGTTCTATCTGCACGTGGGCTAACTTTACTAGTAATACTGTACCAATTGGCTTGGTAGAAAATTCTAAAAAAATCATAGATTGAACTTCAAGATGTTAGCTTTCATCTCCAATTGGCCTCGTGCTAAAATTCCTCCGAAAAGTTGATTTTCCCTTAAAAACCTTCTAAGAGCGTAGAAAAGCTGAAAATCAGAAAAATAAAGTAATAAGCCCATTTTGAATCTAATTCTCCTACAAAACCTAAGTAAAAAGAGTACACAAATGAGTATATTTATGGACTTATCAAATACCCACAACTTAGATTTTTCTAGTCCTCGAGCAAAACAAAATGAAAAATAAAAACAAAATAACAAAGACTCAAAACAAACAAACAACTAAATTCCCAATATTGATCTCAAAGATAATTACCAACGGTTAACTAACTTCCAAGAAATAAGCAACATTAACTCAAGACATTATCCAAGGGTTAACCAAACTTTAATTGAACAACTTGGAGTGTTGTGTGTGAAATAGCCAACATTAATATAACCACGACTTATGCTTCACAAAAGTTAAATAACCAAATAAGAACAAGCTTTAACTTCAATTCTCACCAAGGATGTTCACTCCAATGAAAGCACTCAAAATTTGACTAGGTAGTGTCACTCATATATGTGAGAAGAATCAAATCAATAGGATGTACTCACATAATTGAAATAAAAGCATAATACATGAATAAAAGATCTCATGGAAATATATCGCATACTTGAAAACATTTAAACCATCCGACCATAGTCCTTCCACACTTATTCTCCACATGAGGAACCACACTTCTCATTGGATCAAGTAGGACTTTCACTAAGGTTGAAATAGGGCTTAGGGTGATGGGTGAAACAAGAAAAAGATATGGATGAACAAAGCAGTCTAAGGGCTAAGTAAAGCTTTCCATGAAATTATAACATCTTGCACTTTAGCACATAATTTCATCTTGATACTGTCTTAAAAAAAAATTATTTTTATTTTTTAATTTATTTTTCACATTTTTTTTCTAACTCCATTAGCTTTCTAATCAACCCATATAACAAGTGTTAGGCAAATAACTCCCAAGCTAGATAGCTTTAGGGTATTAAGTGTAAAACACTCCTCGGGCTTAAAAACTCGAGTTCAAAAGGCTTCGGAATCATACATTTTTTTATTTTTTATTTATAAATTTTAAACAATATCATATACACATGATTGAACAATTTGTGCAATTCTCCCTTAACCATAAAAGTGCTCTACAAAGCTCCTCAAAAGGGTGTAGGATAAATATGCAAAAGGTTAAGGTGAGGAGAATTGGGTAAAGAATGATAAAGGCTTACGTAAAAGGCATAAGGGGTTGACTAGGGATAAAATTGATATGGGTTGGCTAGAAAGGCTCAAACGAACGAAACAAGGACTATATCACTTCCTAGGATCCATGTGGTTCATGAAATATGCCTCAAACAGATAATGAAAGTCGTTCTAGGAGCAAACAATTTAAACATCCTCAAGTATTTGACCAAAACAAAGAATAATGAGATCACAACGACTTGTAGACAAGAAAATAATAGAATAGTATATAACACTCAAGAAATAGAGGTATAGGCTCAAAAACTCACATAATAAGGGTTATATAAGTCTACGCTAGCCTTATTTGGGAATTTAAATCATGTGAACTCCAGTTGAAAATCATATTAATATGGCTATGTGCAAAAAGATTTACCAAGTTTAATCACAAAATTAAGGCTAACACAAAGATAATGTAAAGAATTAATGTCATGCTCACAATTCCTTGCAAGATAATGTCAATAAAATTCAATCTCATCATAGAATAGGGAAGTGACTACTAAAAATAAAAACTAGACTCAAAATTAAAGAAAATATTTCTAGGTTTTTATGACATTTTTCTGATTTTTTTAATTTTTTTTTTTTAAGGAGAGACAAAATTAGAAATAAGACAATACTCAATTACCCACAACTTAAAATAAACATTGTCCTCAATGTGTAAAATAAATAAATAAATTCATGGACAATCAATTAAAGAGGGAGAGGGTTTGAGGACTTCCCGGGTTTTCTAGGTGTGTGGAGGGGCAAGAATTTGTTGAAGTGAGAGGAGATAAACAAGGCAACGAACTCAAACACCCACAACTTGTGTCTTTGAATGCCAATGGACCCGTAATAGCTCCTAAAAGTCTCGGAATGCAATGAAATTGGAACAAAATTGATCTGGTTATGTAATCAGAAAAATCTGGAAATCCGACTTTTAGTGACGAAAAATCTGATGAACACCGCCGCTAAAAATCTTTGGTGATGAAAAAATCCAATGAACACCATTGCTAAAACCTCTTTGGTGACGAAAAATCTTCAAATTTTGGGCAAAACAGCAGCTGCTATTTTTTGTGTTTTAGGTCCTTTTTTGAGCTTCAAATTGTCTGAAAAACATAATGTAGGCCACTGGAGACCCCCAAACCTAGTCAAAATCATTAGAATAACCATTCTAAACATGTTGGTGGCATTAGATTGACCTGAAAAACAGCAAAAAAGAAATTAGGCAGAAATTCTAGTTTTGACCAAAATAAGAACATAAATGCTATTTTTTGTTTTCTAGTATCTAAACTCAGCCAATGACAAAAAAAAATTTGTAACACATTCGAAACATGCTGCAATCACCCTAGGGCTATAAAAATGCGAAAATGTTTCTTTGGAACACAAAATCCATTGTTTGATGATGCAAAATCGAACAAAAACAAAAATATGAAAATTTACGGGGAATCACACGTAAACTAAAACAAAAGAGAAAAAAAAAGTTAAGAATGGTTGGATTGCCTCCCAGAAGCGCTAAGTTTAAAGTCTTCAGCCAGACGCGGTTCTTTAGATGGTCAAACAATAGATGGGAGTGGTGCATCCACATGCATGCTCTCTTTTCCAAGCTCAAAAGATTCATAGTATGGCTTCAAGCAATGTCCGTTCACTTTGAATATGTTTCCAGTCTTGTCATTTGAATCTCAACTGCACCATGAGGGAAAACATTAGTAACAACAAAAGGACCGTACCATCTAGAACGTAACTTACCTGGTAATAGCCGGAGGCATGAATTGAAGAGCAAGACTTTCTGCCCTATTTTGAAGGTCTTCCTTTGAATGGCTTTGTCGTGAAATGCCTTAGTCCTTTCCTTGTAAATCCGTGCACTCTCATAGGCATCATTCCTCCTCTCATCCAATTCATTCAATTGGAGTCGCCTTGCATCTCTAGCCTCTTTCATATCGAAATTGAATTTCTTGATTGCCCAAAATGCTCTATGTTCAAGTTCAACCGGAAGGTGACATGCTTTACCATAAACCAAACGAAAAGGAGACATACCAATGGGGGTTTTGTAAGCTGTCCTATATGCCCATAATGCTTCATTAAGTCTCAAGCTCCAATCCTTTCTTGTAGGGCTCACGGTTTTCTCCAAGATTTGCTTGATTTCTCGGTTACTAATCTCCACTTGTCCACTTGTTTGGGGATGATAAGGTGTCGAGACCCTGTGTGTAATTCCATACCGCTTTAAAAGTGCCTCAAATGACCTACTATAAAAGTGAGTGCCTCCATCACTGATAATGGCTCTTGGTGTCCCAAACCTAGAAAAGATGTTGTCCTTCACAAAGCTCTAAACCACTTTTGAATCATTAGTCCGGGTAGGAATTGCTTCCACCCATTTAGAGACATAGTCACCAGTAAGAAGAATGTAAATAAAGCCATAAGAGGAAGGGAATGGTCCCATAAAATCAATGCCCCACACATCAAATATTTCAACAATAAGGATAGGCGTTAATGGAATTTGATTCCTGGAACTAATGTGCCCGGTTCTTTGACATCTATCACATGTGGAACAATAAGTATATGCATCTTTGAACAAGCTAGGCCAATAAAACCACATTGGAATACTTTAAGGGCTGTTTTCTTAGTACCAAAATGTCCACCACATGCATATGAATGACAAAAGGTAAGTATAGAATTAAATTCAGATTCAGACACACACCTTCTAACAATCTGATCTAGACAATATTTCCATAAGTACGGATCATCCCAAACATAATACTTACTTGTTTTGACCAGCTTATCCTTTTGAGCTCGAGTGAGATCCTCTGGAATCAGTTTTGAAACCTTATAATTAATAATGTCAGCGTACCAAGGGTCCTTGGCTTCGAGGGTAAGGAGTTGCTCATCGGGGAAACTTCACATAGAGGAAGCACATCCTCTTCATCATTGGATCCTTGCATCAGCCTACTCAAATGGTCAACCACCATGTTTTCACTCCCTTTCTGTCTCTAATCACCAAATTGAATTCTTGAAGCAATGGAGTCCACCTAATCAGTCGCGGCTTGGCGTCCTTCTTTAGAGGAGGGTACCTAAGTGGTGTCGTGGTATTGAGCTTTCTATAATCTATGCATACTCTCCAACCCGTTTGAATTCTTTGAGGCACCAACTCATTGTCTTCATTCTTCACAACGGTAATTCCGAATTTCTTGGGAACAACTTGGATGGGATTCACCCACTTGCTATCCGAAATGGGGTATATAATTCCCACATCCAAAAGCTTCAAAACTTCCTTCTTAACGACTTCTTTCATCATCGGATTCAGCCTCCTTTGGGCTTCCCTTGTAGGTTTCGATTCTCCTTCCAAAAGGATCCTATGCATGCACTTTGCAGGGCTTATTCCTCTGATGTCTGCAATGGTCCAACCTAGGGCAGTCTTGTGCTCTCTTAGAACTCGAATTAATTTGTCTTCTTTGGATGCACTCAAATTAGAAGCAATGATCACAGGCAGCGTCTTTTCGTCACCTAAATATGCATATTTCAAGTTCTCCGGAAGGGGTTTTAGCTCAACCTGTGGTGCCTTCACAATAGAGGGAATAAGCTTATTAGTAGATAATGGAAGAGGCTCAAAAATAGAGTTAAACTTACCTCTTTGGGGAGGCAAGGCCTCAAGCATATTCACAACTTCAAGTACAACTGTGTTCCCTTCTTTATTCACAGTTTTGGGGCTTTGGATGAGTGCCCTCTCCAATGGCGTCTCTCCTTGTGATGCATTAAATGTTTCTTGTACCATTTGCTCAAGTACATCTATGGAAAAACAAGCATGATCATCATTAGGATATTTTAAAGCATCAAATACCTTAAACTCCACGGTTTCCTCATCGAATGCCATTGTGAGAGTGCCTTCATACACATCAATTTTTGTCCTTGCTGTTCTCATGAATGGACGTCCTAGAATCAATGGAAGGTCTTTTCCAAGAATAGGAACTTCCTCCATCTCGAGCACTAGAAAGTCAGCTGGAAAAAATTAGCTCATTCACCTTAACCAAAACGTCTTCCAACACTCCTTAGGATACTTGATTGATCGATTAGCCAATGTATGCTCACGGAAGTCTTCTTAAGCTCACCTAAATTAAAGATTCAAAAACAGAAAAAGGCATCAAATTAAT